AGTGACCGCAGCACAAGAGCTCTGGCGGGCAGTCAGTCGACTTGACGGTTATGGCTGCGACAGCAATGCGTAACCGGTTCGCGAGATGCTGGTTTGCACATATCCGGTTACCGTGATTATGAAGCGGTTGGTCATCGAGACGCTCGGACGTACGTTCATAGCAGCCCATGGTGCTCAGAGCAGAGGCCGCTGCAGGACGTGACCTGAACCCGCTTTCTGCAGGCGCGTGTGGCCATCAGCCTCATTTGCCGCAGCTACAACCCAGCGGCGTCACTTGATTTCAGTATGGTCATAGGAACATTGGTAATGAAATCGAACCCTGGAAACTCAGTTGGTCGAAGGATTTTTTGTGCATCGAAGAAGGAAGCGTCCATCATCACCATCATCATTGCATCATGCAGACGCTTGAGATCGACGAGGCCATCGACGCCGACCCGCTACAGGAAGGCGCGCTCCGCGCGTTCGTCGGCCTCTTGCTCGGCGCCGTCGTCGCGCTCGTGGCCGCGCCCGTCGCGTACCTCTCGACGGCCATCACGCTCCTACTTCCAAGTGCAACGTACCGCCGTTTGCACCTAAGCCTGCTGCACGCCTTGTGGGCGACCGAGTGGCGCCTGCTCCGGCTTCTCGTGCGGCCACGCCATCGTGCGTTCGAGGCGCTGCCCGTGCATGCCAACGTCATGTACGGGCTCGTGTACTTTGGCGCAGTCAATCTTATCGATGTCATCTGCGCTGCGCCGCCGCTGGTCGCTGCCGCCGCATCAGCAAATGTCATTTACCTTCTCGCCACGGGCCCTTTGGATGCTGGCAGCATCGCTCTCCATGCGGCCTTGCTTCTCTTGAGCCTCGCCGCCGCCATCCTCTCCGCTCGCTTCGTGGGCTACCGCTTCTATGTGCCCTTTGCGACGGCGTGGGCGCACATGCGAGCCCGGCACATGGCGCCGCAGACTCCGCGCACACCAAGCCACGACGACGAGGCGTCTGGTCATATCTACCTCGACATGACCGAGGCCAAGACGTCGGAGAATCCCTGCGTGGGCAGTGCGTACAGCGCTACCATGCATGCGTGGGCGAGTGCTGTCGCTGACAAGTGCACGCTCTCCATGTCGCATCTACCACAATATGTAGCTGCGACGTCGTTGTCGCCGCCGTCGTCGGAAACTTCAGCGACAGCGTCACCCTCGTCGCCCTCGCCGAAAGCTGCGATTGTCTACTTGCAGAGCACCAGCAGGAACCCTTCAAGCATCGTGATCGCACCACCCGCGGTCCGGCTGCAGCCACCGATGATCTGCGCGCCGTCGGCGCCGACCGACGACACGCTACTGCTTGCACTCACCCCGCGCCACGGCCGCCACATGGCGCCGATGGTCGCGCAGCTCGAGCGCCGGGCGTCACAGTCGTCGTCGAGTGAAGAAGAGGACTTTCAGGCTCTCTGCGACTCGATTTTGCAATGCCATGGCCGGCGCTACGACGTATTGAGTCCACCGCCAACGCCCGACGTCCGCGGCCACCACCGGTCGCTGCCGTCGTCCGTCTCGTCGGCGACATCGGACCAAGTCTTTCGAGGCCTCGACGACCCGCCGCAGTTTACAGCGTACGCACCACGGCGCATCGCGATGGGCGCCGCGTTTGACTTGAGCATCTACTGCTTTGGCGGGCGACACGCCGGTGACGTCGTCGAGGTCGCGCATGCGTACGACGCAGAGAGCCGCAAGGTGACCCGGACGATCGATCTGCCGCTGACCAAGGGCACGCACGTGACAATCTCGGTCCAAGTCCCGGACGGCTTCCGCCTCCTCGAGGCCGCGCACACAACTTTTGTCTGGTCGGGCAAGCTCGAGCACCTCGTGTTTCCGATCTTTTGCGAATTGCATACGTCGATGCCAATGACGCCGCACACGGTGGCGGTGGCGATCGTCGCCAACGACTTTGCCGGCGTCCTTCGTTGCACCCTCGTCGTCGGGCCCAATGTCTCCAAGCACATCCAGTGCCAAGACGAGTGGTACCGCTTGGCGCCGGTCAGCGACGGTCTCGAGACGCTGCCAACCGGGTACAGACTCATTCGACGACCCAAGGAGCAGTGACCCATGCGCTTTGTCTCGTAGCTACAAGGAAATTACGTTTTCCGACCTGCACATGAAGCGCTGGATCGGCGCTGGCTTCTTTGGTGACGCCTACCTCGCCAACTATGACGGCCGGGACGTCGTTGTCAAGACGCTGCGTCAGACGGCAGACGACGTACGTTGGACGCAATATACCACTACTTGAGAGGCGCACTAGGTGTCGGCGTTGCAGCACGAAGCCGCCGTCTCGGCGCTCCTCGGGCACCACCCGTGCGTAGTGCCCTTTGTCGGCGCGTGCACCGACCCCTCGGCGCCGCTTGCGATCGTCACCGAGTACATGCCGCTCGGGTCGCTCGCCGGCGTCGTCGCCTCGCCGTCGGCCGCGACCATGTACCCTCCGTCCGTGCGCACGAGCATGCTCCGTGACGCTGCCAACGGGCTCCTGCATCTGCACAACAATGCGTTCTTACACCGCGACATGGCCGCGCGCAACTGCCTCGTGGACGTGGACGGGCGCGTCAAGATCGGCGACTTTGGCCTCGCGCGGCGCGGCGCTGTCGTCGATGCCAGCATGAGCGTCGGGCCGCTCAAGTGGATGGCGCCCGAGAGCCTCTCGCCGCCGCACGTGTTTTCCCCGGCCTCGGACGTCTTTTCGTTTGGCGTGACCATGTGGGAGGTCTACAGCGGCACCAAGCCGTTCGAGGGCCAGCACGCACTCGACGTCGCCGTCCGCGTCTGCGAAGGCGACCGGCTGCCGCTTCAAAACGTGCCGATCCCCGAGGCGCACTTGGAGCTGATCGCCCGGTGTTTTGCGCCCGACCCAATGGCGCGCCCGAGCATGGCCGAGGTCTTTGCCCACCTCGCATAGTCTAGTTGTTTCTCTTGTCGTATCGTCGTACGAGACTCCGTTGTCAATGGGGTGCAGTGGGCTTGGAGGCTTGAGTGCTTCGGCAGCTGCACCCGCGTAATACAAGCGTCGTCCCACAACATGAACACTGGTGTGTGTCGTGCCGACCCTAACCCGAGAAACCGACACGACAGTTTCACCCCTAACCCTCTTCACCCTCGGCCTGTCAAAGTAGGATCGTACGATGGGATTCGAGGATAGACCTTATCAGTACGGAAGCACGGCCAATTGGCCGAGAATCATGTCGCGGATGGCGTCGCGGTCGCTGTCATTGGACGCTGTGATCGTCGTCTTGTTGTCGTGACGCGCATAGGTCACGAGAGCGTCGTGCGACGAGCCGACCGAGAGAATCACCAAGTCGCCTTGGTACTCGCTCTTGATGCTGCCAAATCTCGCCTAGTCGATTTTAGATAGGACCAAAATGGCGAGGAAACGGCGCACCGCCAGGTCCTGCACAAGCACGTCCGTGTTGAGTTCGCCGACGCACACGTTTGAGAGCTCGCGCACACACAGCCGCTTGGTCGCGCGGTCGCCACCAATCGCTGCGGGCACGTTGCTAAAGGGCACGGGCACAAGGACACACTCGTCCGGTGTGATCTGGATCTTGGTCGGAACCAGCGCTGCCGCGTTCTTCTCGATGAGCGTCAGCGTAATCTGCGCTGCGAGCTACTCACAGGTTCAACACGATCGACACGAGTATATGGCGCAGCTACCTTGGGGTCCAGGACGGCCTCGAAATTCTTTTTTGGCGCTTTGAGCACGACGACGGGCTCGAGTTGTCGAAGTAGCGTCGTTGCCGTCGGCAGTCGTCCCGAAATGAGCTCGTGAAGGCGCCGCACCGACTGTTCGTGCTCGTGGTGCTTCCTGCACAACACGGTGGTTCACGTTTGGTACATCGAGCATGCCTACCACGTAAAGCACTCGGGGACGAGCAGGTGCTGCGGGAGGCACTGCGTCACCAGCGTGTTGGCGTCGTTGCACGAAAGCCGCATGTCGATGGGCGCCGCAATGACCTCGACGTTGTGCAGCGGCTGGTACGGGGCGAGCGCATGGCCCAGCGAGACGTGCGGGTCGATGCCAATGACTGCCCCGCCGCGCGCTTCCAGCTGCCGCAACAACAGCGCGGCGTCGCCCAGTCGAAACGACGGATCGCTCATAAAGATGAGGCTCGGCTCCTACAGACGGTCGTTGCACCACATATCCAGGTTGACAAGACAGCAGAATAAAGACCTCGAACGCCTTGACGAGCGCGGACGAGACGGTGGGCAGCACGCGCAACTGTCCGGTTTCACGCATCGCAGTGTGGGCAAAGGCAGGCTCGCCCGCAAAGATCTACGGTCGATTGGCTTGTATGCAGCAGCACAGTAGTCCTGACCTTGGCGATCTTGGCGTTGCAGAGCCACTGCGGACCAAAGACGGCGTCGCACACGGCGTCGCCGGTCGGGGACACGACGTACACTGGGATCGGCGCGTGCTGGCGTGAGCGCAAATACAGCTCCCAGTTCTCAAGGAGCTCGAAAAAGACACCGTCGAGGGGGCACGGCACGAGACTCGACCCGCCGCGCGCGTACACCCGCAGCGCATGGTTCATGAACGCTTCGATCTGGATCACCGTGTCGACCAGCGGACTCCGGTCGACCTTGAGGTCCGAGAGAAGCAAGACATCGCAGTCCTACACCGCGCTCTACGATCTTACGACTTGGTCAAGGTCAACGCACCTTGAGCTTTTGAAGGTCGAGCGGTGTCGAGTGCCGGATCTCGGACGCCGCTGTGGGCACATAGGCCTACGTTGGCGTCAGCGACGGCCGCCTCTCTCGGTATGCGTACCAGGTTCTCCATGGCGCTTTCCAGGATCCACGCACTCGACCCGAGCGCGTAACCCGAGCTCACGGCGGTGATCTTGAGCTCGTAGGCAAAATGGATCGTCTACGAGCACGTTGGAGATGCGGCACATGATCACGTCGCACCGCGTTGTACGTGACGTAGGTGATGCGGTCGAGGCAGCGCTCGATCTCGTGGCGCGTGTACGGCTCGACCCACTTGTCAAACTCGAGATCCTACGCATGACAAGAATGTAACATTGGAGCATCGGCAGAGCGTGGCTACGAGAAGACGAGTTTGTTCGGCGCCGGGTAGATCTTTAATGTTGGAGCGCGACAGCCACGCCTTGGACGCGTGGCCCGAGAGCTTGCGCTTGCGCTCGAGCAGCTCGAGCATCTCGAGCAGGAGGAGCCGGCCAAAGCGCACGCACGGCTCGGTCGCATAGATTTCACCCTAGATCGTGCGGTCCTGGCCAGGGTTCCAGGACAGGCATGACGTACGCGGAAGGCCGAGCGTTCGGTGAGCAGCGGCAGCCCGAGGAAGCTCCAGTGGTTGGACACGACAACGCAATCGATGGCTTCGGCGTCCACGGCGTGCAAGCTCGGCGCGTAGTAGCGGCATGGCCCGTCGACAGGCAGGTGGGCGAGCGCCTTCATGTTCAAGCCGCAGTCCAGAAGCACCTGGCGGCCCGACATGGTCACATGGAACGAGTTGACGCCATCCTCGGCGCGGCCCAGTTGGATCTACGTCGTGCTAGGCATGAGCCATGCCCGTCGCCGCCGCAAGCCTCACCAGCTTCATGGTCACGTTGCTTGTGTCCGGATAGAATCCGGTAAATCCAAATGGTGCATTGCCGGATAAAAATTCAATCGATTGCGTGTGATAAAAGAAATCTTTCTTTTATTCCTTTGCATTTCTTTTAATGCCTCGAGGCGACTGCCCGGCAGTACACCGCACGCTGGTAGTGCAATCGACCATCTCTATCGTGATCAATGCCACGATCAGCATCGCATCTCTCTAGCGAGCGTGTCGTGCTCTAAACTTGCGTCAACGCCGCACCACCAACAATCCGCTGTGGCGTTGATGATGACGCGACTGGTCACAGTCTTTTAATGTCTTTTATCGTTGAAGAAAGAAAAAGAAAATTCTTTTACTCCAACGATGGTCAAAAGATACCATTTCGAGACGCGCGTTGGGTGCGTCCATGGCGGTCCTGCGCCAACAGGAGCTTCTGCGCATCGTGTTCACGTACCAAGACGGCGTCTTTGAGGAGCTCTTGCCGCATGTCCATGCGTGGAAGCTCTTCAAGTATGCCAACCAGCGCGCTGCGTGGCTCCTCCTGCACTACGCTGGCCTGCACTGGCTCCAGCGGCTCTTTGCCTGTTGGCCCATCGCCGACTCGGTCGCGCTCATGGACATGGCGGCGAGCCACGGGCAGCTGGAGCTCGTGCGCTACCTCAGTGCCCACGGTGCGTCGGGGTGCACGGCGCATGCGATGGACGCGGCGGCGCGCAACGGCCACGACGACGTCGTCCACTTTCTGCATGCGACGCGGTCCGAGGGCTGTTTGCGCTACACGCTGGACCACGCCGCGATGAACGGTCACCTCTCGATCGTGCGCTTCCTCCACGACCACCGAAATGACGGCTGCTCGACCAACGCGGTCGACTACGCCGCTCGGAATGGCCACATCGACGTCGTCGCGTTTCTCTTGCAGTGCCGCCACGAAGGCTGCACGCACCTCGCGCTCAAGTTTGCAGCGCAAAACGGGCACTTGGACGTGGCCGCCTATCTGGTTGGGCACGCGTCGACGGCGTGCATCTTGCTGGCCATGTTGACCGCGAGCGCCTATGGCCACGAGGACGTGGCCGCGTACCTGCGCGACGCGCATCCCAAAGCCCTCTGCACCGATGTACACTGTGTGTTTCAGCTTATCCCGGTCGTCTTGCCTGTCGAATGACAAGTGCCATTAGATGAGTTTGCCTTTTGAGTTTGAATGGCGAGGTTGCCGTTTGAGTTTGATGTTGCAATCTTTTGGAAACGGCGCAATCATACATGGCTCACGCGAGCACGCTGGAGAAGAGTCGGTTCGCGCTCGCCCGGCTCCGCGCCGCCTCGTCGGACGCGCTTGATGCACTGCTCCAGGCCGTGCAGGCGCACAGCATGGAGGTCGTACTGGCGCCGCGGCTATGGGGGCTCTTCCAGCACTTTTCGACACTTGGGTCGGACCGGCTCAAAGCCCTTCGAGTCACGGAGATCCACGCGCTCGACAGCCACGTCGGCGACCAGCACAGCGCTGGCAGCGCGCTCGTCTTTATCGTGCAGCCCATCGTGGCGCAAGTGTATCTTGTCGCGCGACGCATTGCGAGCGTCGTCGAGCACCAGCCGAAAGGCGCGCCGCCGCTCGTTGTCCACATCCTGCACGCCGGTCCCACCGCCTCGCTCCCCTCTTTCGTCATGCTCGTACATGTGTAGGCCCTTGGAACGCGCTCTGTGCCACGGTGCTCAACCAAGAACGCACGGCCGAGATCGTCCAGCTGACGCTGACGCTGTTTCCGCTCGGGTTCATTCCACTCGACAGCGACGTGCTCACACTGGGCTCAGACACGCTCTTGCGCGAGTGCTACTTGGGCAGCAACAAGACGAGCCTGGCGTAGGTACTCGCACCTGCATCAACACACAACGCGATCGAGTAGGACGATGGCGCATGCGCTGTACCACCTCGAAGCAACGCTCGGCAAGATTGGCCACATCTTTTACAAGGGCGACCTCTCACATGCGCTGTGGAAGCACCTCGCAGCCCTCCACATTCAAAACGGCGTGCCTCCGCCCGCTACCTCCAAGAAGCACCGCGTCGACTGCCTCATGGTCTTTGACCGCAAGCTCGACTACTATGCACCACTGAGCACGCCATTGACGTGCGCCTCGCTTGTATCGAAAGAGAGCTAACGAGAGAGTAGGTACGAAGGTCTCCTCGACGAGGTCCTCGCGTACCGCGACGGCATGGTGCAGGTCGATGCAAATCTCTTGGACGACACGATCCCGAGCGGCCAGCAGCAGGTGTCGTCGGACAGTTAGATGCCATGTGGGAACCTACAACTTCCTAGGCGCCTATGAGCTTGTCGAGCGACGATGTCGTCTTTGAGCTCTGCCGCAACGTCCACATTCAAGCACTGGGACCGCTGCTGCAGCACCAAGTTGCGACCATCTCGGAGGAGCACGCGTCGCTTCAAAGAGCCATGCACGACGAAGCAGCGTGGAAGACCGATATCTCGAGCCTGCCGGGCCAAGTCCAAGCCCACTTGGTAGCCAAGTGTTATCGACCATCGCCGACACTTGTGTCGATGTAGCACCAGCAGAGCTTGCTCAACCAGCATCTACAGCTGTCGCAGCTGCTGCAGGCGACGACCAACTCGAAGGATTTCCGACGCCGCTGGCTCCTCGAGCGCGCCATGTAGTTCGCATATGCCTCGTCAGCCGCTGAGACTAGCGTAGTATGGAAGGCGAGCCGCGCCTCGGCGACATTGAGCAGCTCATTTGGAAGCAAGGCCCGCTCTTGCACGTGCTGCGTCTTCTGGCGCTGTACGTCGCCACTTCGCCGTACATCCGTTGTCGATGGCTCTATAGGCACAGCCTCGCCAACCACGGCATTCCGAGAGAGCGCTACTTTCATCTCAAGACGCAGATCATGCAGTTTTACGGCTACGAATACCTCCACACGTTCGACAACCTCGAGCAAGTCGGGCTCCTCCGCATGCACGATCAAGCGCAGAAAGCCCCGCCCAACCTCCTGCGGGCCTTTGGCTGCATCGGCAACTACGGCGGCGACGTCGTGCATCCCGAGGACGCGGGCTACGTCTCGGGCGGCTACACGCCGCTGCTCGTCAAGCTCGTGGACGCCGCACTCGGTACATCCCTACGTCGACGGCGGTGCGCGCACGCTCTGTAGGTCCGCGCCAGTGGGAGCCGATGGCCGAGCTCCTGCACCAACTGCCCGGTCCCTCGGCGCACTTTTCCACGTCCGACGCCGTAAGCACGATGTTGGGACCGTATCTGATCCAAGGCGGTAGAACAATCCGGGTAAGAAAAGGAAGACGTTCAAGACGGTGCTGCTGGTCGTTGTTGGCGGTCTCACGTGGCTCGAGATCGCAGCGCTGCGCTTCTTGGGCCAGCAGCGTACGCGACAATACCGGCCTCCAAGTTGCTCACGCGCCCGCACGACTAGGCAACGTCACGTTCTTGTTTGCGAGCAACTCGATCGCGTCCGGGCAGCGCTTCTTCGAGCCTCTCCTCGAAGCAGTCTACAACGGCCTGGTCGACGAAGACATCAAGTAGCTCTTCCTCTTGGTATTCCAGTACACGCAGAGCATTGCACAACGACAAGCCGGTTTCGTTGAAGCCTTGTGGCGGCTGTCGCCGTACCACACGCACCGCATACCGAGCACAAATGGCTTGTTGAAGGTCGGTTGCAGGGCGGTGGCAGAGACCTCGGTTGGCGGCGGTCGGCAAAGTCTAATGTTGGGTGCAAGCATTGCTCAACACAAGACAGGAACCGTTAACGTTATACGACTCGGGTACGCGCGTCTGCACGGGCATAGCCGACGATAAATAACACTGAGGACGAGGACGACGCGTGCTTAGAAGGTGTGGCGGGTCTGGTAGGCCGGCGGCGTCTGCGGGCACAGCGGCGCGGGCGATGTGTAGTAGTTGGAGAGGATCGAGACCTTATCGAGCGCCGAGACGCGCGCGTCCTCGATCGGCGTGCTCAGCGCGCGACGGAGCTTGTCGACGTTGTGGACGACCTCGTTGAAGGACGGCGTGCTCTTGAAGCTGGCGAGCGAGAGCGACGGAAACGCCATGCTGGTGTGCGAAATTGGTGCGTAAGGAAGCGCGGCTTGCAAAGTGAAAGCGTCGCTGCGCAGCCAACTCAGACGCGCCACTCTACGGGCGCCATCTGGGTGTAACCTTGCCCGATCGCCATACAAATCGTCGAAGCGCCAGTGCATTGTCCCACCGTTACTAGCACGACGGTATCTTTCGAACACGAGGGGTGTTGGCCAAAGCCTGGGCACGGCCTCGTCGGCGGAGAGGAGGGTTCAGAACGACACGTCGGCGGCGGAGACGGCGACTGCCAATACTGCCATCGAACACTCAAGACGGACGACAAATATGCAACCCAGTCTCGACCAGCTTTCATCTCTCGATATCAGAGCGCAGCTGCGCCAGCCGGTACAGTGTACGACGACGACGCGCCCGAGTCAGAAGCGAGGACGTTCAATGCGCCGACACAGAAACACGCTGACTCATCACCAAGCACCTTCGCAGCTCTTGTGGAAGCTCGGGGCGTCGGTCGAGACGCTGGCTTCGAGGCTTCGAAAAAAGCTTCGAAAAAGCGCTTGCGGTGCGACTGCCACGTCATAGGATCTATTTATAGCACGACGTGGCGCCTCAAAATGGCGCCAAATGTACCGGTTGGCGGGCCATTTTGAGTCGCTACCTCGAGAGTTATGGCGATGACCACTTCCGCTTCCGACGCCATGTGGCCGATCCCGACGCTCCTTGCATCGACGCCGTCGGGCCGCGAGGTCCGAGAGTACTACGTCGACGAAGGCACGCCCTCGGTAGACATGACCGTCGCAACGCACGCGCCTCTGCGGTCCTCTGCGCTTCCAGACGCGCCGCTTTTGCCGTGGTGGGGCTTCTTCCTCGGCGCACTCATCGCCATGCTCATGACGCTCGTCGTGTACAAGCTCGTGCGCGGCAAGCGAAAAGGCCGTCACTTGTACCGGACGGTCCCGCTCGCGCAACTCGTCTCGGTCTGCGAGTCGGGCGAAGGCGCAACCGAAGACTACGTCTTAATTGAGGTCTAGTCCGTTTCGCAGCTCAACTCGATAGATATATACACGCCAATAGAGAGAATATTTGATTGCCTTGTTGTTGAACGAGGACTAGGCGTGCTTGCCACCGACGGTCTTGGCGTGCGTCGACGACCGCAGCACGAGAGTGTCCATGTACCAGCCAAAGGCGACTTGCACGAGCACAAGCAGCGGGCCAAAGAGAAGCTCGAACGGATAGCACGCCCAGTCGCGCGGCGTGATGCCTTGGCCCATGATGCGGCCCGCCCAGATGCCGACGTCGTTGGTGATGGCGTACGAGCCTAATAAATCTCGTCATACTATCCATCTCGGCCAGCATGACACCATAGCTTACCTCTGGCGATACCACGCATGAGGCTGGCGGCCGCAACGTCCGGCCTACACCATGCCTTCAAGCTATGAGGGCAACATGTCGACGTACGAGACAAGGTCGGTGGTGCCTTCAATCGCCTTGGTCATCTCCGGTTTGGTCGGTTGCTCCTCAGCGTACATGTTGGTGTCGATGCTGCCCGGGTAGAAGCAGTGCACGTGCATCTTGTACAAGCATAGCTCGTTCCTGCACGTGCCGATTTCAAAACGCCCACGACACAAGTGGTACCGGAGCGCGTCGGCGAGGCCGCGCAGAGCGTACTTGGACGAAGCGTACTGCGCAAACCCCGCAAATGCCACGAGGCCCGCGCCCGAGTTGATGAAAATGAACCGACCGCCTCCGCCGCGCGCGACCATGGCTGGCAGCGCCGCCTGCGAAGGAGCTTTGTTTCAAGCGAGCGAGATACGAGTGTGACCTTGACGGTGTGGAGGGCACCAAAGTAGTTGACGTCCATGTGCCGCTGCAAGATCGCCATTTCCTGGTCGAGCAAAAGGCCAGGCACCGAGACGCCGGCATTGCAGATGACGTGGTCCGTCACGCGCGCGTGGAAGATGTTGGCCGCTGCGATCGCGCGCTGCATCGCCTTTGCGTCCGTCACGTCACCAACGAGAGAGCACACAGGATGCGCACTCAGCGCCTACGCCACCGTAGCCACTCAGTCGGCTTTGCAAACGCAGCGCACCGCAAGCGCCAGCCGGGCCGTCTCCAGAGCGTGCAGATGCCGTGCCACGATCGTGATCTGCGTTCAAATGGTGAGGGCACGAGCGATGGAGAGAGCATGGGACCTTGGCGCCGGCGCGAGCATACTGCGTAGCGATCGCAAAGCCAAGGCCTTGGCTGCCACCTGCCACCGAGCCTTAGCTTGCAGAAGGCGCGTTGGAGCGCGTACCAGTGATCAAGACGTGGTGGTCGCGCACGTCGAGGTGCGGTGCCGGGCCGAGCTTGGCCCACGCCTGCAGCGCCTATCGGCTGCGGTGAGCGACACGAGGTGTCGGCGTCGTGGTTGTACGAGGGCGCCACCCAGAGTTGCGAGCGCGATGCTGGCCATCGTGCAAAGTGAATCATGCGCTTGCAGCGGGTTGTCACTGGCCCCTTTTTCCGACCACACAACGACGAATAGGGTTATCAACACACTATACTTTTATATATAGACAGTTACGTAGTACTACTTGCAACCTTCTAGATAGTCATCTCAACCGCCACGCCTTCGCTCGACATGACGACTTGAGCTTCTTCGTCCGTCTTGACGGGCGTCTCTTGCACCTTGGGGGTCAACTCTTCCGTCGTCGTCGTCGCCGCCGCCGTCTCCTGCTCTTCGGGGACAGCGGCTTCGGTGACGGCCGCGAGGGCCCCCGCCGCGACGGCCGCCTTGGCCACGCGCTGCATGGGCTTGCGGTTCGACTGGTACACGACGGTCGGCTGCACTGTCTCGACTTCGAGGGGCTTGCCGCTGCGCACCGCGTTGGCTTCTTCCTGATCGATGAAGCGGAGCGTGTTGATCACCTCTTCCTTGCTCGCCTTGAGCTTGTCGAGAACGCTCGAGACCTTGGACTCCTCCTTCTTGGCGGCCGAGAGCGTCTCATCAATGACAAAGCACAAGTCCTTGTCCTTGGACGCGATCGCGCGCTTGACGTTGATGAGGTCGACGACCCACTGCTCCTTGGCGTGCACGGCCTGCGCGCCCTTCTCCTTGATCATTTGGTCGACGTCAATGAACGCCGGGATCTTGGTGAGCATGTCGGCGCTCCAGTCGATCTCGCTCGCCTTGGTCGCGAGCAGCGACATCTCCTTGCGCTCGCCCTTGGAGAGCTCCATCCAGCGGTCGACGGCCTTGATGTCGCCGTCGACCGCAACGAGGAGCCAGTCGAGCGTGTCGCGCACTTCCTTCATGTCCATGCCCGGCACAAACTTCTTGGCAAACTCGGCGCACGTCTTGCGGTCGTAGTAGTTGCGCGTCTTGACGAGGCGGCGGATCACGTCCAGCTCCGACTCGCGGAGCTTGAGCGGCACTTCCCGCTCGACGCGCGTCTTGCGGACGCCGTCAAAGGCCACGGGGAGCTTGGCGTGCTCACTCGCGATCGACTTGTAGTTGGAGTTGAGCGCACGCGCACGCTGCTCAATGAGGTCCGACTCGGCCTTGCGCACTTGGATCTCCTTCTGGAGCGACGCCTTCTCGGCCGTCGAGAGCGCCGACTCTTCCGACTCGATGCGCTCCATAAAGCACTTGATCGACTCGACTTCCGAGCACAGGTTGGCGTACGCGTGCTGGAGCGACTCGTCCTCTTCCGCGAGGCGGTTGGTGAGCATCTCAAAGGTTTCGCCGAGCTGCGCGACAAGGCCGCGGATCTGCGACGTCATCATCATGTCTTCGTCCTTCTCCTGCGGCTTCTCGACGTTGTACACGTCTTCGACATACGCCCACACGTCGCGCTTGACGGCCTTCTCGTCTGCACACGCCTTGGACTTTTCGAGCTCGGACGTGACCGAGTTGACGTCCGACTCGTCTTCGTTGAGGAGCTTGCCGCCCTGCACCATGTCTTCCTCGCGCTCCTTGCGCGCCGTCTCGAGGCACTTGGCGTCGTGCTTGCCAATGTCGGGCGTGTGCACCGTCACGTAGAGGAACCACGAGTCGGAGCTCTTGAGCATCTCGAGCTTGTGCTCGCCCTGCAGAATGCGCTGCTTCTGGCGCATGATGCGCTCTTCCTGCTCGATCACGCGGTGCGTAAAGTGCTGGACCAGGCGCTGGAGCTCGGACGCGCGGACGGCCTGCTTGACGAGGCGGTCGGCCTCGCGCTTCTTGCGCTTCGAGTGGTCGTGGAGCGCGTCGAGGACCCAGTTGCCGGCGTCCGTCATGAGCGACGAGAGGTACGCCTTCTTCTGCTCGCGGCAGGCTTCTTCGTCGTCGACGAGGCGCTTCTCGTTCTCCAGGAACGCATGGTACTCGGCGATGAGCACGTCTTCGCTGCTGGCGGTGACCGTCTCGTCCGAGAGGCGAGTGATGAAGCCCGAGATACGATCGAGGAGCGACTGGCACACCTCGTGCTCGGACGCCAAGTGGCTCTGCTGCGCGTCGAGCTCGGCCTGGAACTGCGCACGGCGGGCGCGCACGTCGTTCATAAAGTGATCGCGCTCGTCGACGTTGTCGCCCTCCATCGGCGTGCGGTAGTTGGAGGCAACAATGTCCGACGTCTCTTCCGAGTTGATGTCGACGTCGCCGTTGAGACGGTTGACGTACTCGGGCGCCATCGCAAGCGCCGACTTGGCGGCCTCGACCGCGGCCTTGCAGCCGTCCTTGTGCTCGGTGAACACACCCGTGTCGGCGTCGCGCTCTTCGTTCATCGCCGCGCGCTTGAACATGAGGAGGCGCTGCGACTTTTGCTGGCGCGCGAGCTGCTCCGCAAGCGTCTCGCAGCGCTTCTTGGCGCGCGTGATGCGCTCGCCGTGCTGCGCCATGCGCAACGACGTGTACTCCATGCGGGCGTCCTGCGCCATCTTCCACTCGAGCTCGTACTCTTTGTCGAGGGCTTCATGGCGCAGCTTGCGCTGCGAGTACGCCTTGTTGCGCGACTTGATCTCCATGTCGAGGGCTTCGAGGTCCCGCTCAATGCGAGACATCTTGTCTTGGCGGCACTCGCGGTACATGAGCACGTGCTCGTGCTCGAGCTTGTAGCGCACGTCTTCGTCGCGACACATGTCGTCTTCGCGCTTCATGTTGGTGCGGTCCTGGGCCCAGTGGTCGCGCTCCTTGCTGAGCTCGCTCCACTCGTCGTCGAGCGCGACACCTTCGGCTTCGAGCGTCGACGGCTCGCCTTCCTGGAGCTGCTGCACCTTGACGTGGAGCGACGTGAGCTCCTTGGGAATCGCCGCATCCAAGCCGAGCTGCTGGAACTGGAACGAGATGCCAAAGGCCTTGACGATCCACTCGTTGGCAATCATCTTGGAGACGGGCGGGTTGTGGTGGTCCGACCAGTCGGCGCGCTGGCGCGACCATTGCGCCATGTCCTTGTTCCACTCGGTCGTGTCGTTCTGGAATGCATCCTTGGACTTGAGGAACTCGACCTTCTCCTTCTGGCGCACGTCCTCCTCGAGCGCACGCTCGGCCTCGTCGGCTTTCGTGTCGTCGTACACAATGTGCACGGACGCTTGCTGGATCTCGAGACGCTCCTTCTCGCGGGCCATGCGCGCCTCTTGGGTCGCCTTGCGCGCGACAAGCGCTTCGTGGCGCTTGTTGATGTGCTCGCGGCGCGTGAGCTGCGAGACCGCGCGGGCGTCGTGGGCGCGCTTGCGCGCGGCCTGCTTCGAGACGCGGTCTTCGTTGTCCTTCTTGCGCTTCAAGAGGTTCGCGAGCTTGTTCTCCATCTGCTCCTGCTCCATCTTGAGCTGGAGCCAGACGACCACGTCGCTGTACTCCTTCGCGACGCGGAGCTCCGTGTTGGCGCCGGCGTTCTTGAACGCGCGGAACTGGTCGTTCGTGAGGCCAAAGAAGGCCTTGAGCGCATCGCAGTCGCGGTAGAGCGGGTGCACGAGACAGCCCTAATATCCAAAATTTAGAAAGTGCAATCTCGGAAATTTCGAACAGAGAAATATCGAAGCGTACCGAGAGGAAGACCTGGAGCGACTGGGCCTTCTTGGCCGAGCGGGCAACGCGCTTCTCGGGGAAGGCCGGAAGGGCCTTGGCCGTGATCTTGTCGCCGAGGGCGGCGGCGAGCCACTCAAAGTCGGCCATGCTGCGCTTGCGCGTGAGGTTGTACTCCTTCGCGGCTTCAATGTCGGACGCGCGGAGCGTCTCGCCAAGCGCCTTGACGTGGGCGGCGTTGGGCTCGAAATACGCGTCGACGTTGTACGACTCGGTCTCGCCACCGGCGTCGGCGACGCCGATCTTGATGTCGAGCTTCGAGAGGAACTCGAAGCCGGGCAGCGGCTCGGTGCAGCCCTCGACTTCCATCGAGGCAAAGGCCGGCGGCTTGGACATGCAGTTGTTGCAGTGCTTGACGGGCGACGCAAAGCCAAGCTCCGGGATCGGCTTCTGGCCTTGCGAGCAGCCGTTGCAGACCGAGCGCGTGCAGCGCTGGCAGTGGTACGCGCGGCGGCCAATGGCAAACTGACGGAAGCAGATCTGGCACTCCTTTTGCTCGGCGCGCGCGACTTGCGTCGGGTTTTTGGTCGCAAAGTCGTTGAGGTTGACGCTGTTCGTGTCGGAGCCCGACTTGATGCGGCTCGTGGCAATGACCGTGTTGGCGAGCGTCCGCATGTTGGGGGTCGGCTTGGGCACGTTGGCCGCGAGCGTCGGGGCCGCCGAGTCGGACGACGAGGCCGAGGCCGGCGCCGCAATGACCGCTTGGCCGCGCGCGGCCGTCATCTGCTGGCGCTGGTTGAAGACGTCGGCGGGCTGCTTGATGGCCTTCATCTGGAGCGAGATGGTGCAGCTCTTGCAGCAGCGCTGCGGCTTGTCGCCGTACCCAAACGACGGCGGGATGCACATCTTGTTCATGACGCACTCGCGGCAAAAGAGCTTACCGCAGACACGGCAATGGTGGCGGCGCGGCTGGGGAAAGCCAAAGCGCTTGCCGCAGTCCATACAGTCGTCCGAGAAGTCATCCGGCACCCAGAGCTTCTGGAGGTCGGCAATGTCGTCCGTGAGGCGGTCCATCGAGTCGCGCATGTTGTCGTTGGACGAGACGCGGCGCGTCGTGGGCACGACCGGGCGGCGGGTCGGCGCCGAGGCCGGCGGCGCCGGCACGGATGTCGGGGCAGCGACCGCCGCCGACGGCGCCGACCGAGGGGCGTCGGCGACACCGACCGTCGTGCCGCAGTAGATACACACTTTGTCGTTCGGCGTGATGGCGCTGCCGCATTTCGGGCAGGCTACCGACGCGGACGAGTCGGCCATATTACACGCAACAACGATAAGGTCCCTGGTGAATGAGTAAATGAAGTCAACTCGAACTGCGCTCGTGGGGGAGAGGCAAGATAGCGCCAGTCACTCTCCCGAGCATACAAACTCCAAGCCAGGTGGACGGATCCGGATAAAGGCCAAGAGCGACCGAGTGAGTTACAGCTGTGAGTACCCGGCTGCTTCAAGGATGGCGCGCGCACTCACACGCCCGACCAGAGCCTGCGTGGCGACGGATCTGAGCACTCTACGGACGTGGAGAAGAGAGCGCATTTCGCGGGCATCCCTTCCTCCTCCAGTCGTGCAGCTGCGCAGGCTATCGCAGGGACACAACGTACAACGCGTGGGTGAGCGCGACAAGGACGCCGCCGGGGGTGTTACGTCCGTGCGTCACACGCGCAACGGCGGACGTCTCGGGCGGGGCGACAGCCCCTTGCAGCTGGCGACGCAGCACCGTGACGTGGGTAGAGATGAGCGCGTGTCAGTTCTTTGGCGATAGATTCGCGCGAGTAACGTTGCGTTGCTCAAGTCCTACGTAGAGGCAAGCAACTGTACAAACGGTGTCGATATACACTGCGGTGCATCCTACTCCAGCCGCCAATGGACCACGGACGACCCACTTGCGCGATGCCAACGTGCCAACTTGCGGTCATGGCGAGCGCAGCTGGCAAAATCGGCGGCATCTGCTCGCGCGGAAGCATCACCCAAGCGCGTTGAGATCGTCCCATCGTTCTCGTCGGCCCATGGACAAGCAGCATGCTGGAGTCATGGAAGGAGATAATGGCCAAAAGCATGTCTTGCTCGAGCCACCTCCGCTGGATCAGCTGCACGGAGGACGACGCGTGTAGCATCAGGCGCCCTCATACAGTATCTTTTTTCTCGGCTACTCGGTCGGAGCTACTGCCGTCCACATTGCCGAATGCCAACGCGACGTTGCTGGGTCCACGCACCTTGTTGGCGGAGTACCCGAGCGTCGTGACGGGTGCTGCATGAAGACCAGGGTCAACTTGGTGCGATGGGACCATGTGCGGTCGATCTCTCTCTGCGGGACAGAGCGCGGAACAGAAAACCGTCGAGTACTGGACAAGGGAATTGATGCTGGATCGCGACGGTTCGCAGTGGATCTTGGGACGCGACCAGCATGGGCCCGAAGAAGGACAAGAAGAAGGGCAAGGAGAAGAAAGGTACTTTGCATTGGTATGCTGGCTGCGGTGGGCTGATGCGCAAGAGCGTAGACGAGAGCGCCGACAATGGCGGCGTGCTCACGCCCGAAGACCAAGTCAAGGTCCTCGGCTGCATGAATCGGTCGCTGCAGCAGCAGCTCGCCGACCGGCAAGAACTCGCTGTGAAAGCGCTCGAGGCGAAGCGCGAGCTCCAGACCCGCGTCGCGGACCTGCAGCGCGACTTTGAAACCGGGCGGAGCCAGACGTTTGGCATCACGCAGGACATGACGCGGCAGTACAAGAGCATGCAGGAGGAGCTCCTCAACCGCATCAACGCACTCGAAAACACCAACATGGAGCTGCGCGACCAGCTCGGTACGCGCCTACAGCGACGCATACGCCCATGTCTCTGCCGTTAGAGCTCGCACGCGTCCACCTCGAAGAAGTCAAGCGGGAAAAGGACGGCGCGCTCGCCGGCAAGAACAACGAGATCCAGGAGCTCAAGGCCAAGATGGAGGAAATGGCCGCCGAGTTTGGTGACATGCTCAAGGAGACGCTCGACAAGATGCGCGAGCGCATCGAGATCTCCAACACGAGCTACGACAACGAGTCCAACACGCCCATGATGCGCCGCTTGGAAGAGTTCAACCTCGGGAGCAGCTCGCCGTCGAAACCCCTCGTCAAGTGACGAGGCGCGATGGTAATAGGCATTGCAGACAGGATTACATCGTGTTGCTGCCATCGTCGTAACAGCAACCTTGGCACGTCGGTCACGCCCCGGGCACTGCACTGGACGCTGGTACTTGCCGCATGCGGGAGGGTGCGAGTGTACACGCACTGCGACGATGAACGACGCGCAAGAGAGACGGCGGAAGGAGGAGGAGGCGGGCGAGAGTACCAAGCATGGGGACGGAGGAGGCAAGGAGGGTACATTGTATCGACATCCTCCGAAACAGATATTTCATCGCCCGTCGCCAACGATCCAGAGTCTGGGGATGGGAGCCCACCCGCTCATTTGGCGCTGTGGGCTATTACTCGAGTGCTACTTGCAATGTCTCCTGCCATTGCGTCCGCTACACGAACGCGCAGCCTCTCTTCTGCTTACACGCGCGCCGTTTGTCGTCGTCCGTTCTACTTGTGAGCTCAGATTCTTGAGGCCATCTTGAGCTCGGACGCCAGTGCTGTGGAGATGAAGAGTCGACGTTCGGCTGCTTCAAATGAGCAACGCTACAGGGACGATCCGCATCTCGCATTCGGTTTCTGTCGGTGGCGGCGGACTGTGGACTGGGCAAACTCCGCATTCGCGTAGTAGAGGGCAAGCCATCTCTATTTCCGCTTGTGTTGTGTGCAGTTGGATGGACCAAGGAGGTGTGGCTTCAGGGTTCAGCTAGCTCGTCACCAATACGCCGCATACTAACAAATCCTAATCCTCTTTGCTCTCGCTGTTTGAACCGGCAGCGAATGTCGAGCCGACTTGAATTGGACAGTCGCAAGCGCTTCGCTTGTACTAGACAACGCGCGCAGAATGTATTTTGGCTGTCGGTAGGTCCTCGGACGACCGAGCGACGCAC